ATGACTGGAGCATAGGGTGATTACTGATGCCATAAACAGGAGTGTCAATTTGAAGTCAACAACAGGAGTCACTGTGCACTTACTCCTCATGTAGGATCTCTGTCCTTAATGTGCTGTACATTGAGATTTAATGCTATAACGAGTACCCAAACAGTATTTTTCACTTTGTGTTTCTATGTGGGTGCAAACTGTTGAAATCTTTACTTAATGTATACTAAACTGGTCTTCTGTATATATAGAAAATTGAAAATGAATCTTGATGTGAATGGAAGGGGAGAGAGAGCAGGAAAGGGGAGGGTTGCAGGTGAGAGGTAAGTCATGGAGGGGGGAAGCCTTTGTAATCCATAAGCTGTACTTTGGAAATTTATATTCATTAAATAAAAAGAAAGCAAAAAAAAAAGATCTGATAACTGAACAGTTGCAGGTTTAAATCCCAATTAGGTGCATTAATAGGCATGGGACTTTGAGCAAGCTTTCTTTAATTATCTTAACTGCATAAAAAGGAAAAGTTAATGCAAAAATCATAGTGATATTCATAAAGGTTAAATATGATAGTTCATGTGAAACACTTGGCACAAGGTCAGCCACATAAATATTTCCTATTAAGTGTATGCTTATGTTTTCTATCTGGAAAAAATAACATTGTTGTTTTATACAGAATTTAAGAAAAGGATTGTCATCATCCAGGAGCTTGCTTTTGAGTTAGTTCAAAGAAATTTCTCTTAAGCAGAACCCCACTCACATTCCTGCACTCATAGATGAATAGGCCTAGGACAGTGATGCTATTGTCCTCAGTTTCTCTGATGAAGCTTCGGTTCAAGACTGTTGTTTTCTTTAATTCCAAGGTTACTGTTTGCATCGACATACACTCATGGGAAAATTGATAATGAAACCAGCTGCTTGGTTTAAAAAGGAAAAAATTCCTTATAATAAATTTCCCTTTTCATTTTATAGAATTTTTTAATTATGTGGTCAAAATCTCTTCTAGAGAAAATTGCCTAAGTCTTTACATCCACATAAAAAAGATGACTCCTGCATGTATTGTACAAAGTTTCATGAGAATCTCTCCCAATGTACTAAAAACTAAAAAACAAGAAACATCTACCATGGTAGCAGCAGCAATAAGAGAGATGAAAACCTACCATGTTTTATAAATAAATGTGAGGCTTTGAACTAATGGGCATAAGACAAGGAGGAAATAATTACAACTCCATGCCACAGATAATGTGATTTAATTAAGTGAAGTGATAACAAACCTCCAGTCAGGACACAATCTCACATTCTTAGCAATTTATACTAAGGGGAAAGAAGGAGCCAGAGTAATCACCAGACTGAGATAAATTAGTGTTTTCATTTCTGGTGAGCTTCCCCACGCACATTCGTGTCGGCATCAGTAGATTTGGTTCTCTGTGTACTCTTACAAATGGATAGGCTGAGCAAAGGAAAACATTTTATTCTCATCTCACATTCAACAGGATAATTGCATTACATGAACAGAAACAAATAACTTTCTGCAAAGACTTTCAGATCTTTCCAGACAGAAGCTTCATTGCATGATGCATACAGCAGACACATACCCTTTAGGGAACTGGTTCACTGCTTCATAGACCCTCCCGTATAACGAACATCCCATGTAATAAGTCCTTCCTTAGTCTTTTGGTTGCAAGTGCCAGAGTGCATTCAAGTGAGCCAAGCAGGCATTTATTACAAGGGTATTAGTAAACTAATCTCTTGGAGTCCAGGAAAGGTGAAAAACTGAAATTAGACAGCCATCGGCAACCCCGGATGGTGTCTACCTGCTTCCCTCTGCACCCCTTACAAATGTATTTCCAGTCCTGATGTTTTAAAATCAAAAGAGAATGCTATGAGACAAACTTGAAAATGTGAATATGAATAATTATTGTCCTTGGAATTGAAAGTTCTGATTATTTCTAGAAACAACGGCCACAAAATTTAAGTACATAAGTGCACAGATTGTCACACTATTCAGCAAGATGAGGGTGATGTTATCATAAAGCAAGAACATCTTGTGTCCACTGTTCCCTTTAAAGCCCCTGAAGCAGGGCTAGCTTTTCCCCTGCCCCTGGATTATAAGCAGGGAATGCAGTCACTTTGATTTTTGTTCTTAAGTAATACAGTGTCAGTGGTTACTTTGAATCTCAGAATGTAGTCTCCAATTGGTGTTCAGTCCCATATGATAATTGAGCCCTTTGATCCTCACTAGAAGTTTCTCATCACCCTCCCTCAGGTCTGACCTGCTGTACAACAGAACAGCAGGCAGTGCCACCCTGGCTTTTTCCCTCAGATGAGGGTTTTCCTCAACACCCTCAACTCCTGGAAGAGCCCCAGAGTTACGAGCTGTTTCCTCATCACCAGTGCTGCATAACGGTCTGCCTCACAACCTCCTTTGGGATCTGATCCCTTGGCTGATGTTATCAGTCTTGTGGGCGCCTCTTGCTCACAGATCATTGGCTCTCTCACTGGAGGATTGCCATTGGCAGCTGGTGTGACCTTGCTAGGAGGTGCCTGCAAATTTCACTCCCCTACCCACTGTCTGGCGCTAGGGAGCAGACCCTGCTTCTTTGCTACATGCTGGGGCAGATTCTGTGGTGCTGGTAATGCCCCAGACCGCCCCAGAGCTTCGGGCTGAGGCTAGACTGCACCCGAACCCTTGTTGCTTAGCCTCTCTCCTTGCCTGCTGTGCTTTCTCTACTCCTTTGCAGGGCTTGCCTGAAAGTCCTCTCTTCAATGACTTGCACAGCACTCCTGTCTCAGACTGCATGGCTAGGGAAGCCAGCTTCAGGCAGCTGCATCTTGTACCTTGGTTCCTCAGTCAAAATGTGCAGCTAATGTCTCGTTCCACCGGAACCTGGCTCACCGGAGCATTTGACAGCTCCCCGACCCCTTTTTAATAATCCATTATATACTGTTTGACTCCAGAGGAAACTTGCAATTCTAGATCCTCCCTGTTTTCTCTTTTGTCCCTGACTACTTCCTTCTGAGGGAGAGAGAGATCATGTGATTTTTATTTTTCTCCTTTTTCAAATCATATATTTGACCATCCAACATCTAACTCTGAATATCAGTGTTTTCTAGTAAATCAGAAAGGAAGATTATCTGTCAACTCCAAAAGGAAAATCAAGCAGGAGGATGCACAAGCAGGAAAAAAAAAAACACACACAATTTTCTCCAGGTCATTCACCTACATCATTCTTTTAGAATAGAATGAAAGCAAAAGATTGCTTTGTTCTTTCAGACAACCTGATCCAAAAGGAAGCAGAAAGGAAAAGATGAGCTCAGAGTGGTCTGTACTTAAATAAAGCTTTTGTGTGAGTAAATAATGTGCATTAAATAGTAGCTCTTGATTCTTTTCATTTAGTCCTGACACGGACAAATGTTTGATTGCCAAGAAGAGCATTTTGTCCTCATGTGAATCCTAGTGCACAGAAAGGCAATGTTGACCCAGAAGGCCCTGAGGGATGAAGGCAGCCAGAACTGTCTCCCACCACTAAACCAGAGGAGAGAAAAAGGGAGGGAAGAAAGTTCTCAGATGCTCCAGGCCTGAGGTCAACAAACTTTTTCTGTAAAACACGAGAGGATATAATCGTGACCCTGTGAGCCATATAGTCTGTGTCACAACTATTTAAGTCTGCCATTGTAGTTTAAAGCAACCATAGACAATACTTAAAAGAATTGCCAGGACTGCATTCCACTAAAACTTTATTCACAGACACAGAAACTTGAATTGTGTATAATTTTCATATACCTCCAAATAATCTTCTTTTGATTTTTTTCAATCATTTAGAAATATCCCAAGCTCATAGTTTCTACAAAAACAGATGATAGGCTGGATTTGGCCAATAGGTTGGGGCTTACCAACCTGTACTCTAGGACATAGGGTGGAATGTCTCTTCCTCAATGCATTCAGGATAGAAGGTTGGCTGTTGAATTGAAAACATCAATGAAAGTAAGAAATCAAAGAGTAATACTGATTTTAATAAACCACTTCCAATAACATCAACATAGGTCATTTACCAATTCTTTCTGTATGGTGCCATGCAGATTTATTTTTGCAGAAGTCTGCTAATTAGAGTTTAGTTGGCCTGACTCAGTGCTTTGAAATTTCTAGTTCAGTTAAGTCACAAGCGGGATAAGAATTTGAAGCTGCTTGCAAGTTCATTCCAGGTACAGAACACTTCTGGTTTTTATAAATCCTCCTGATCATTTATAGTTGTGCCCCGACCACCACTTTTTGATAGCAACATTTAAACACCTTGCCTTTGTAAGAATCTTTCCAAAGTGCATGATCATCAATTGCTACCTGCTATAGAAGGAAGATGGTGTCAACTCAATGGAATATCCTGCTTTCTTACCATGGTTCTTCGAGTTACATGAGGAGAATTAAGATAGTAAAATGATTTTATATCTTTTATTGAAAGAAATTAGGGGAATTACATTTCCCAGTGTTTAAAGTGAGAGTATGCCTAGCTCCCCTCCAATGAAAGGTACAAATATCTGTCATTTTCTTCCTCAACAAAGATAAAAGACTATTTTAAGTGAGTTAGTCCACGATAATAGGAGGTGTACATTGAATCTTCCCAGGAGGGCTTACTGCTTCACCACAGTCATAGGCGTGTCCTGCTTGAATAGCAGTGGGAGTGAGTTTTAGGGATGGAAACTAGTACAGCTGTTGAAGGAATGTCACACTGATTAGCGCATAGTCACAGTGAAGGCATAGTCAAGTTGTAATATGATGAGCCAAAGTGGAATTAGGAGAAAAGAGAAATAAGGGTTGCCCAACAAAGGCATTCCATGCTTTTCAAATTAAGTATTTCATCTATTTGTTGATTATATTCAAATGCTTTTTATCTCCTCCAGTGAGTAGAGTCTTTGTGAAAAGCTAATTTATATATTTCTTTTTTTTTTTTTGCCCATAATCAAAACTTTATTGAAAAACTGACATCAAAATAGGGGATAACTTGTATACCTTATAAAATCAAACAAAATTACATTACCTTAGTAGATTCACTAGAATCACTGAACTTATGATAAGGCTTTCTGTGAGAACACAAATCCAGGAGGTTGTGTGGGTCACTAGTGTTGCTTTCTTCTAAAGGAACAGCCTTCTGTGAGTCGGGCCTTCCCTCCTGTAGGCTGGCACAAAACTGTAGAACAGCCTACACAAAGAACCACTGTTTGGGCATGGCTGAAAACCGTGGTGATCTTGTAGCAACCTGGGCATTTTACGTCCATAAAATAAGAATTCGGACTTTGAACTAGCCGTTTCTTTTTATGTTTCTTCTTTTCCTCCTCCAAAGAGGGATGGAGTAAATCCCTAGCCAAGGGCATGTCGGCGGTCCGCGAGCCCGGCGCCTCTCGCTGGTTCTGGCTACTCCCCTCTAATTCATATATTTCAAATCTTTTTAGTATCTCTTTAGATCTCTCTAGAAAACTGTGAACTTCTTCTATAATTAGTATTTACCGTATGGCTGTAAAAAAAAAAAAAGTGCAAGCAATTTTTAGCCTCCATTTCTATGGATGTCGTTTATTCCTGCTACGACTTACCTGTTCTCTGATGGATGCTACACTCATTTGTACCTGAAGGTGCCTCTTATTTTACTTTATTCTTAGTACTAATGTAAGCTGTGATAACTAACAAGAAAATAACCACACTTAACCACCCAAGATTCTACCTTGTGACTCAATTACATTTGATTTTTTGAGAAACTCTTCAGATTTTCAATTCAAGCTGTGGTCTATTGTCACTGTTTAGAGATGAATGAGTATTTTTTTTATTTATTTAATGAATATAAGTTTCCAAAGTACGAATAATGGATTACAATGGCTTCCCCCCCATACCGTCCCTCCCACCCACAACCCTCCCCTTTCCCACTCCCTCTCCCCTTCCATTCACATCAAGATTCATTTTCGATTATCTTAGTATACAGAAGATCAGCTTAGTAGACATTAAGTAAGGATTTCAACAGTTTGCTCCCACACAGAAACATAAAGTGAAAAATAATAGATGATTTTTTTTTAATGATGATGAAATCAGATCAGACCTATTGTCATGTTTAATCCCAGTGAGAGTCAAGTTGGGAGTTGATAGTTTCTTTTTTTTTTTTTTTTTTTTTTTTTTTTTTTTACAGAGGATCAGTTTAGTATGGTTATACTAAAACCTATCACTAATTTGGAAGCAGCTGGGTGTGGGGAAAGAGAAGAGGAGAAGGGGGAAATGCTAGTAACACCTTAAATTATTATCATTCTCTGTGAGCTTCAAGAATGCTTTAAAATTATTTCCAGTGACATAGGAAGTCCTCTTCAGTTTTTCCCTATAGGTCTACACTATTCTGAGTCTGCTTGCCTACAGGACACATCTGATTTCTCCCTTAGGCCCTGGACTTTTCATGGTATATCTTCAACCTCTTTTAAGATTTATTTTTTATTCATTATAAAAGCAGAGTTACGGAGAGAGGAAGAGAGAGACAGTGAGATAGAGGGGAGATAGAGGGTGGGGAGAGAGAGAGAGAGAGAGAGAGAGAATGAATGAATGAATATCTTCCATCTGCTGGCTCACTGGTTCACTCTCCAAATGGCCACAATGGCCTGGCCAGGGCTGGGCCAGGCCAAAGCCAGGATCCAGGAGCATCTTCCAGGATTCCCACGCGGGCCATCTTCCACTGCTTTCCTAGGTGCATTACTGGGGAGCTGGATCAGAGGTGGAGCAGCTGGATCTCAAACAAGTACCCATATGGGATGCCAGCATCACGTGCAGAGGCTTAACCTACTATGCCACAATATTAACCCCTCTACAACTTCTTTCTTTCCAAGTCTCCTGAGTTGCCATTTTAGAGAGGCCCCCAAACATTCCCAAAGTGGCTTGATATCTCTCATAGCCCCCAATCTGATCCAAAGAAAACACTCCTATTTGCATGTATTATATTACAAAGTGGAAATTCAGGCCACCCCAGTGCAGAAACCCTCCCTTGGCTCTGGAAACAGTGCAGTCTATTAGCCCTTCTTTCACTTTCTCTTTTCATCTGATGAGCACTAGTGTGACTTCAGTCCTCAGTCCTTTGTTGTTTTCTCAGGCAAGAGTTAGATACCAGTCTCTGGACTGCCCAACACTAGGAGATGCACTTCAAGTTCTAGCACTACTTTCCTTCATGGCCTCCTGACTAGAATGGGGAGAGCATAGATTTTCTACTCACCCCTCTTCTACCCTGTGTTGAGGACCCACAACAATGCAGAAGCTCTCTCCAAATTTCTGGAGGTTGGGACTTTACAAAGTCTTCTTTCTAATTCTTTTTCATGGCCATGATATGATGGAAGAGTCCAGATGCTCTACAAGATCTTGGACTCATTTCCTTTAATACCACTTAGTGTGATTTTGGCCGCTGATTTTGGATTATTGTAATTTCTTGTCTGACCAAAAACTGTAATCTGAACATGCATGCATGCAAAATGGTGTCATCCAGAGACAATCACTGAGAACATTTAGATATATATTTCTTATATTTTAAAGTATATTTTCTTAGCAAAAATGGGATTATTTTGTAATTCTTTTTCTTCAGTTAGCAGTCTATTCAGAGCATCTTTCCATGTCAGTAAATCTCCAAATTAACATCTCCTGGAAACTACCATTATTTATTCAATTGTTTCTTGCCACAGATTTAGGCTGTTTCTTCTTTCTATTATGATAAATGATCCCAGAAAAGACAGCTCTATTTCTACTTTCTGAGCCATTCAATTGCTTATCTGATATGTATTGAGTGCCTATTATAAAAAGAGCACTATGGTTTCCTTGGAATAAATTTCTAGATGTGGAATGGCAAAACTAAGATGCCTGCATGTTCTAAGGCATCTGAAACACATTTTCAAATTGTCCTGCAGATATACGTGTGTTTGTTTATATGTTTATGTGACTTTGAGAGTGCATTTAGGCCCTAGAGAAGGAAAAGCATTTGCTTTTGATAATTTCACTGCTTGGACTTCTCGAAACACGGTTACCATGAGTCATAAATATATTTATTTAACTGCAGCAAACTATTGGATTTGCTTTATTTTACTCTGAACTAATTTTAGACTCACATAAAATTTTCAAAAATAGTACAGTCTCCTGATGCATTTCACCTGTTTTTCCCAATGTTTACATCTCACCTAACCATAGCACAATCATCAAGAAGAAGAAACCAGCATTGGAATATAATTGATCCAACAGTAAGACTTACTCAGGTTTCACCAATGTTCCCCTTAATGTTTTTTTTTTTTCTATTCTAGTACCTTATCCAAGATCCCACCTGTGTTTCACTCCTATTTCTCCTTGGTCTTCTCCATCTACAACAGTTCTTCAGGTTTTCCATCTTTCAGAATCTTGACATTTTTGAAAAGTAATGATTGGTTATTTTGTAGAATGTCTCTCATTTGGAATTTGTCTGATGTTTTTAACAGAGTGGAACTATGCATTTTTTGGCAGAATGCATCATATCAAGGAGTTCATGCTCTTGATATATCTTATTACTGGTGATGTTTACCTTGATCCCTTGAAAATGCCATTTTAATACTACAGAAACAGAGTGCCAATGGCATTTACAGAGTTTCAGCTGTATACTGGCATAATGCCTTTTGTTCTTTCTATAATCCTCCTAAAGACTCTGCAAAGTGAGTCTAATTATCTCACTTTATTGAGTCGCTTAAAAATTATGTAGTATGCACGAAGTCAGCAAAGCTCTGATTCCAAAGCCAGTGCTATTTCCAGCACAAGGAAGCTATTAAAGCAACCCAAGTGCATGTGGGTGTGAGTTGCTACTGTATTAGAGTTTGATTCTTATTTTGTTTCCCTCAATGTAGAGTTGTGGAGAGTCATATTTTCAGAAATAGTCTATCATTGTGACTTAACAAAATCAAATATTTAGTGACCCAAATTTCTGGAAAATTCATCCATCTTCCACAAAGTCACTGTGTCTTTGACCTTTTTTTTGCAAGATTTGTGATGTTATTTCCTTTGAGGTTATTATATTATAGAACCAAAAATCCAGTGCAAAATGATTTTGTAGATGGAAAATGGTGAGGTGATGTCATCTTTTACTTAGTCGCATATATAGAATACCTGCATCAAACTGAATGACTGAAAGTCAATGACATTTCTCTCTTTAGATTTTTTTTTTTCAGGGAAGAACACGCAAAGCGTAATACCTACATAGCACTTACATTCCCAATCATTAAAACTCACACCATGTCCCATTTAAAGAGCTAACACTTTGATCTGATTTGAAAGCAAAATATAAGGGAGCAAAACAAAAAGCTGAACCTCCAAAGAAAAATAAAATGAGATAATGTATAGAAAGTGGTTAGCATAGTGCCTGGTACATGGTGAACATATCATGAATTTTAGCTCGTCTTGCTGCTGCTGAAGTTGTCTCGGATGTCACTGGTGTTGAATCTGGTGAAGAGAGTAGGTGACTGGCTCATCCCCTTCTCTGTGAGACAGAAGATAAGCCTACAGTAAATTTAGAAAAAAAAGATGACTGCTCTCTAGCCATTTTGCAGCTGTTTATCTTCTTTAAGTGCTCTTATATTCCTCTGTTGCAATATAATCTTAAAGCACCATTATGAACCCATTTGGGAACAAGACTAGGAACGAAATCAAGGCAATGTGGCAAGGAATCAGTTACCACAGTTCAACCCATTTGACAATTATATCTCTTTGGGCATCTCGTCTGAAAAAGTGACCTTAGCAAATAAGTCGTCTTCATAGTTCCTTCTCTAGGGCAGGATTTCTCAACCTCAGCATTAATGTTACATGGAGCCTACAGTTTGGTTATTGGGGCTGTGCACTGTAAGATATTTACAGGCATCCCTAACTTCTGTCTCCTAGTTGTCATTGGCACCCACTCCAGCTGTGATGAACAAAAATGTCTCCAGACATTTCCACATTGTCTCCTGAGGACCAAAATAACTCCCACTGAGAACCACCTCTAAAAGGTAATGTCATTCCATAATCAAGATAAGTGACCATTGGTTACATTGGAAATTTGGAGGATAAGAAGCAATATTTTTGAGTAACAGATTATTTCACAACTGTTACCTCAATGTATTTCATGTAATTTTCAGAACAGACATGAGATAGTTTTATTCCCCATTCATGCATGGGAAAACAGACACTCATAAGAATTGATTTCTTTGAGTCTCCCACATAACTGTTCTGTGGTGGAGTAGACTTGACAGCAAAGGCCATGCTCATCTGTTACACCCTCATGAGCCTTAGTTCAAATAGAAGTCCTACCTTTGTTAAGTTTCTGCTGTCCAGGAGAAAGAGACTTACATTTACCAAGTACAAATGTTGGTAAGCTATTGTCTCTTGG